GCCCGCCCGGACCGGGAAGCGCGCGGCGTGTGTTCAGGAGGGGCGGGCTTGTGACCTTCCGTCCCACTTTGAGTCGCGGGCTCAGGGACGGGCCCGCAAGCCGCGTTCGTGCTTCCTTTGTAAGAGGCGTTTGGTCCGGAGTGCCACTGAGTGCGACCGGGCTGGAAGGAAGAGGGCCGAAGGGGACCCCAGGGGCCTGCCTGGTCAGCGGCGCCAGGAGCGGTGGAAAGCCACGCGATCCGTGTTGTGCTTCCTGGGGTTTGAGAGGCGGAGATCACCGAGCCTCATCCTCGCCCAGGGCAGGAATTCTCAAGCCGGCCCGGACGAACGGCTGTCTGCCTCTCCTTGAAAGCCTCCAGGGATGGGGCCCTCATGACTCCAGGAGGCAGGGTGTTCCGCTGCCTAGTAATTCTCACCGTCAGGAAATCCCTCCTTATTTTGACTGGGGATCTCTCCCCGTAAAGCTTCCGCCTGTTAGTCCTTGCCTTGCCTTTCCTTTGGATGCTGTGGAGGATAAATCCACGCGCTCTTCCCCGGGATAGCGTTTCAGAGTATTAGAAAACTGCTATCGCATCTCCCCTTAGCCTTCTCTTCTGCAGCTCGAACTTTCCCAATTCTTTTCAGTTTAAAAATTTAGCTTTTAAACCCCTCATCATCTTTGTTGGTCTTCCCTGTATTTTTTCCAGCTTCTCAGCATCCTTCTTATATTGTGACACAGTATTCCACATGTGGTCTGACCAGTGCAGCATAAGAGTGGAACTATCACTTCCCATCTGGGGATCAAGAGAGCAGCGGTGCTCCTTCAGGCATCAGGTGTGAACTATATTTTAGCAGTGGAAAGATTTCTGTTTGCAGACGGCTGCAGCTTGAAGAAAAGGGAAGTTTGCTTGTCAGCTGGAATCCTCATTCTATCAGCTTATAATTTTTCTGTCCATAAAGATAGGCCATTCTGAATCCTGCTGAATTGTAGTTCCCCAGCTTGCAGGGATAGGAAATACTGCTGGAGGGTAATGTAGCCTAGCACATCTGTTTTGTTGGGTAGGTTCTATTTTGATTTTTAATGGAATCCTAAAATTCACCAACTGGAGCTAAGTGCAAAATAGGAACTCAGGATGTGGATGTTGCTAAGGAATAAGCTCGCAGATCCTTCCAACCAAGCTTCCTTTACTGGTTTTCTCTCATGTTTAGGAAGAAAAATGTTTTTGAAATGTGGTTATTTTTAGACTGCAAATGTTGGATACCTATATTTGATGTACTGCAAATCTGTTCCTTTTTTCTGCCTCTGGTTTAGAGTATACCTGAAGGAGCATTATGCGGTCACCCTGCAGAGCTGATCTGGCCCTAGTTGGGAAAGCACCATACATACTACTTGGAGGCTCAGCATGGTAGAAGAGGAAGCATACGGGGAGAAATAGAAGAGACGGGGAGGGTGGTTAGTGAGACTGCTCCTTTACCGCATCTCCAGTATATTGTAGCTATAGAAGACAGGTGACTTTGCCCAGATCTGCCTCTTCACAGTGGACTAGCGGGTCCTTCCGACCAACGCTCTTCTCGCTAGAGATGATGTCCTTTGCTTGTGGAATCGCTTCAGTGCTAAGTGAGGCAGAATCACTGGTTAATTGTATGGTGAAACTTGATGGTTGGAGTTATTTTATATACGTGAATGTAACTTTTATCTTCTGTGTAAGTTTGTATAGTAAAGGTTTTGATAGAAAAATTACAGGAACTTCATTTCTGTGGATGGTCAAGTTAGAGAAAGAAATGATATGTGTCGTATAACTCAGTTTTGACTCTGCCCAGTCATTATCCTGAAGTGGTGGACAGAGTGAAGAGGAAGCCCTTGCTTTGTTCTCGCTTTCTCTTTTCTCATAAAAAGCTGGATAAAATGCTCTTCAGGGATTAAATCTCTCAACGTGATGTGGTGGGGATGGTAGTGTCTTTTATTATGCAGTTTGTAGTGAAGCAGTCTTCAAGCTGTAGATTGCACCTAGGAGTAAGATGCCCCCAAAGTGCTAGCTGGGGCGATTCCTCCTCTGGTTGAGCAGGGTGCTGAGGCACCAAAGGGGAAATTTCAGGTGAAATACTAGAATATCAGAAACACATTATATTCCTTTCTTATGGCCACATGTGCACCATTTTCTTTATCCATTAATGAATAACCCAGCTAATAGTTGCTCTGATGCTGGATTTTGTATAGGGTAATGACAGTTGGCAGTAATGTACTGCTTAGCATAATGACAGTAAATAAGAAATGATTACAGTTGGGAAACCAGAAACATAAAGAGGCTTCCCTTTAAGCACAGTCCTTTTTAAGATCAGTTTCTAAAATTTATTTCTTTTCGCTATCGTTGACAGTTGGGAAGGCCCTAGATCATGTGAAAGCATTTGCATAGCCAAAAAAGATGATGGATAAAACTGAGAATGTCCATAAGGAATATAGTATGTAGGAAAGGCCTGTATAAATAAACAATGGGGGTGGGCTGGGGGCTCTTAATGGGCAATACTGCAAGAATTTCCACAGCCAAACAACAATAGGAAAGATTCTTGCCACCTCTGCAGGTAAGAGGACGCAGGGAAAGCCCCTGAAGGACTATATGAGCCCAGTTCATTCGGGACCAGGGGCCATCACTTTATGGCCTCTCTAGCAAAATAGTCTGATCAGCTGCTGCATATCACCCAGTCCAAGGCCAAGCCTGACCAGGAGCAAAATGCGGACTTTGCACTAGTTTGGAAGGAGAGCCAGAATGGCTAGGTAGAAAAGTTGATCTGCGTGTCCTAAATAGTGGATGGATCTGGGCCTGATGTGATCAGTGGCTAACTCTCTCTTTGCTTGTTTCCTATTTTAACACACACGTACGAGGAGGGAGCAGTTCAGGTACAATGGATGTTTGAAACCCCTCGGGCATCCCAGTTTCCCTGATGTAAAAACGAACCGTATTGACTAAACTGACCATACCTAGACATCCTGGCATCTGCAGCAGCTATCTGAGCTTTGGATTCCCCCAGTCTAGCATTTAGCACACACCCCTCCCGCCACCTGAGTTCACTTCTTCCTCTGCCATTGACCTTGAGCGGCCTTCAACCAGGTGCTTTCCACATGTGTTGACTAACTCTGGATTATGGGACTGTAGCCCAGGATATCTGAAGACAGCCAGTTGGGGATGGGCTGTTCCAAAACCATTCGTCGGGTTTTTTGTGTTCTAATGGTCATCCCCGGGGTAGAGTTATGGGTGCCGGTCGTGTGAATGTAGCATTCGCAGGGATTTTAAGTCAGAACATCCACTATTTTCCTGCACCAGGAAACGATACTAGATCGAGGCCGAGTTGATTCTTGGCTTGGTATCAAAAGGAGCCTCTGAATCCAAGCTGTGGCTGGAAACAGAGCCCTTTCCCTCTGTCTCCTGGACGAGGAGACCCAGGTCTGCTAGTCCACAGCTGGACATCACTGGGGATATCCAGGGCCTCTCCTGGGCCAGCAGGGGCTTTGTAAATGAAAAGTTGCAGGGGGCTGGAGACCCTTTGGAGGTGGTAGCAGCAGGCCAAGGTGAAAAGAAACTGGGACACGGTGCTTTCAAATCCAGGGTTTTTTTGTAAATGGATGCAACCCATTTGAATTTCCATGATCCTTAAAGAACCAGTCCAGGTGGCCTGGGTGGAATCTGGAGCACTTCGCTAAAGTTCGTAAATCTGTGGTGGATGCCTGGCAGGAGAATGGATGCACTGTCGTAAAGCTTTGAATGCATTGTGTTTGACTTCTGCTCTCACTTAGTAACAAGTCCCTGTTAGATTCTGAGTGAAAATCTAACGCAATCCTATCAGGTGTAAGATGAAAGTAAATTGTTAACAACTCTGAAATGTAATTGCTCATTAAGCTAGACTTACTGGCTGACTGTGTTCTTACCACAACCACCCCAGATGGACGCCCTAGCCTACGGTGAATCTAATAACATACCCTTTCATTGCTAGTGTTACCCAAATTCAGAGAGGCAATAAAACTATTAATTGGGAAAATGAGAGGAAGGAACAGTAGCAGTCATGTCAATTATCACCAGAGTGAGGGATTTGGGAAACGCGTGTCTGAGGCATGTCTAACCTTCAGGTCCTGAATTATCTGTTTGCATCATGGGTAAATCGTGATCTTTCAGGGATTCACAATTTTAATAAAGGGCACTTTAATAACTGGGCCACTCGCTCTAAACCAATGAGCCATTGAGCAGTTAGTTTGGCTCTGGCTTTTAATGCTTTGTATGAACAAAGCCACAGCAGATTGGAAACTATTGTTTGCAATTGAGCGTGTTGTGCTAATTAAGCGAATGGTGGTTTGTTGATGAATAAGCGAGGTGAGAATCCAGTCCTTTACACAGACTGTGGGTGTGTGAGAGATACTATGCAGGTGGGGTAGTGGAAGGAAAGCACGTCAATCTTTTATATTTCTTGCCTTTAATAGAACAAATTCCAGTTCTCCAATGCATTTTTGTGGCTTGATTGTATCATATTTTTTTACCCGTGATTTCAGTTTCCGACATCAAACATATTTGGCAAGCAATCTTGTTTTTCCCAATCTTACTGTGAACTGTTTCCAAATTTTATAATTAGCTTAGTTAAGTTTATTCAAGTTATGGTTATAGACAAAGTGATTAGAATCATGTGAAAACCTAAACTATCCCCAGCCCAATCAACAGCATTTTAACATAGCTGTGTTTTCTTTGCAGAAATATAGTGAGTATTTATTATTCCCCCCAACTATAGGAAACCTAGAAGTCCTAGTAGTTTCTTCCCAGATGAAACTGTTTCTCCCCCCCCGCCTTATCTTTGCTTGCTTCATTTCACTTGAGACACAAGAGCCTGAGGCTTGTGGGAAGCTCTGACTGAAGCAGAGAAGGGTGCAGAGCAAATGCAGGATTCCCAGCGACTTTCTGGCCACTCAGGGAAGGGTGGAAGCAACTCCAACCAGAATCTTCTTAGCAGTCCTTGGTGTTTGCATGCACAGGCATTAAAAATAACTCGTGTCTTGCGTTTGTTTCCATCAAGGCCGTCTATGCGGTTTTCCCATGTCTCAGTGGGCTCCTCGGTGTAACAGCGTCTATACGTTAGAAGCGGATATGAAGAGTGACGTTTCTTCTGGTGCACCAAAGAGCCAGGAAAGCCTGAAGGGGATCCTCTTGAACCCGCCACCCACTGAGGCAGCCAAAAACTTCCCAGAGGAAGAAGTCGAGATGATTGCCAGCAAAGTGGGAGACGAATTCTCACACCTCTGTGGCGACACTCAGAAGCAGAAGGACCTGAACGGAAGTCGTCCTGAGCAAGAAGCCATTGTCGTGAGGAAGAAACGCAAGAGCCAGCAGGCTGGCCCTTCCTATGCTCCAAACTGTGGGGGCAAAGAGGCTCCCCCCATTTTAGGGACAAGGCGGCGCCTTGATACCCAAAGCGAGGACAACGACTCTTCCTTTAGCGACTGTGCCTCTTCACCTTCGTCTAGTTTGCATTTTGGAGACTCTGACACAGAAACATCGGACGAGGATAAGGAGGTGGCCCCTGCCAGGCAGACTCGGGCCGTGTTGAATGCATCCGGCAGAATTCACAGTTCTCGGCCGCAAAAGTGGCCCCGGACAGAGGCGGACTCCGTCTCAGGGATATTATTGAAAAGGCCCTGCTTCCACAATAGTAGTTCTCGGAGAAGGCTTCCATATAGGAAGCGGTTTGTGAAAACCAGCTCTGCGCAGCGAACACAAAACCAAAAAGAACGGATTTTAATGCAGCGGAAAAAAAGGGAAGTATTAGCTCGGCAGAAATATGCTTTGTTACCCAGCTCTAGCAGTACCAGCGAGAACGACCTCAGCAGCGAATCCTCTTCCAGCTCCTCCACGGAAGGAGAGGAAGACCTCTTTGTATCAGCTGGTGAGAATCACCAAACCAGTGCTGCTGTCCCCTCAGGTAAAGACGCCTCTGGAGCTCCCGCCTCATCCTGCTCCTGGCCCCCCTTCCTAGAGCTTGCCAAACTGTTTCCCTGTAGTCCTAGTCAGTGCCTGAGCCCCGGAAGGGAGGGGGGAGGGCACCTCTCGCTAATAGTGCTAGGGCTCATGCTCAGACAATCAATCCCTGCTGGCTCTCCTTCACCTCTGAGGCGTCTCTGAGCTCTTGGAAAACTGCTGCTGGTCGGAGGATGCTCTGGGACGCTGGGGGAGCCAAGGGCCTCAGTTCCTCCTCTGCATTCCTGGGGAGAACAGGATTTACGAAATGATGGGGGAGGAAGTTGCGTCCTGGGATTCCTGGCCCTCCTCCCTGTTACCTCATCCAGTTCCCCAAAGCCCACTACTGCTGGCTTGTTAGTGCTGCTGTATTGTTACACCGTTGTATTGTTACACGGGTCTCATGCTGCTGACTCTTGCTGGAATTGGGCAGCAAGGGACTCTTGGTGCTACAGGAGGCTGTCTCGGCACTTCTTCGGATACGAAGCAGGAAGGCGTAACTCCAATTTGTGTGTAAAATTACTGTGACTTCATGGGGTCAGGGCAGAGCTGCTCTTGGCCCAGCAGTTCACTTCCTATCTGGTCATTTGCTGGGATTATCCTTGAGCACCCCTGAAGGGGGTGGTGATCAAAGGACGAGCAATGACCAGAGCCAAGGATTGCAGTGCTGCTTTTATCTGCATTTTCTGAACTCATTGCTTACTGCATTTCTCAGCAGGTACCTTTAACACGCTGGCAGTTCACTCCTAATAGAATTTGTTTTGGATTTCCCCTCTTTTCCTTTGGTGCTCTGTTTCAGGGAGCATTGATGAAGATGTTGTGGTGATCGAAGCGTCTTCAACGCCCCAAGTAACCGCCAATGAAGAAATCAATGTTACCTCAACAGACAGCGAAGTAGAGATTGTCACTGTGGGAGAAAGCTATCGGTAAGGCTTCCGCTTGGTTCCTCAGGCAGCTCACGGGATCGCTCTTGCACTGGAATTTGTGGCCCTGCATTTGGTGAGGAGGGCAGGATCTTTTGCACAGACCCAGACTGTGATCCCTCGGGCTTGGTAGCCTTTTTCTTCCCTCCTGACAATTGGGATTTCTGCATTAATTAGAGACGGCTCCAGGGATGGGCTAGATAGTTATCGTCCCTTGCCGTTCTCCTTATTTTTGCCATCTGCTGGTCACCAGGAAGCGGGCTCTGCAGCCATTCACGTCATACTGAATTCTGTCCTGAAACCTCCCTCAATTTCTGCAGTGGGTGGCTGCAGATTCTGCTTTTTGAACCACAGAAAGTTCTTGCTTAAAACAGGTGTCTTCTTATCGTCTTCATAAAATTCCACCTTCTGTTTCTCATAGCAAAGAAAAACCCTGCTGGAAATGTCATTCCAAGAAACTGGAGTGCCATTTCCTATTGATGGGGAGGTTTTCTCCTTTAGGTTTATCTCCCCACCAGGGATGTTTGCAGAGTATGGTCAAAAAAGTCAAGATGGGGGCCACACGGCACTTAAAAACAGGCAGAGCTTTGACCTTACCACCATCTTGACTTTTTTGACCACACCCTGCAGACACCCTTGCCCTCCACAATATTTTGTCATTTGGGACTGCTGCATCTTGAGATCTTAAGTTTCCTGCCCAGAGGACGTTATCAGTTGGACAGGGAAGAATGAAGAAAGGAAGTTGAGAAACAAATAATTTGTAAATAATGCAGGCTGCAGGCGGAAAGCACAATTCCGTGGTACCCCCCAGTGTATCACAGGTGTTTCCTACCACTGCTTCCAGAGGCCTATTTTCTAGGACTGCTTTGTAACTTTCCTGGATGGGGTTTGAACCTCTGCTATACAAAATCATCGTCACCATCATCATCTTCATCCTGCAGTTCTTTGAGCAAGAATGAAAAATAAGGCAGCAATTATTTTAAGGTGTATTTTAGCCTTCACCATCTTCCTGCCTCATTAGATCACCTGTCTTGGTGCATTTGTGTTGCACGTGAAAGTGACTTTCTGTCTGATATTCCTGACTGGCCCAGGGAAGAACGTGTGTCGGCTTCCCAGGTCATCAGCTACTGGGAACTTCTTTGCCTTGCAGCGATGCTTTTGGGGATCAGATGGTGCTCCTAGAACATTCTTTATTCTTGATCAGAAATAGCAAGGAGGTTTTCAGTGACCTTCTGGGTTCGGCAGATGAGAGGACGGCCCAGTGAAGCCTCAGCCTCTCTCTCCTCTTTCACGCTCTCCAAAAATGGGACCACCTCCTCTTTGGAGGAGGATTGTTCCTAGTCCTACAGCCCTGAGCGCATGCGCAGATGCTTCAGTGCAGGACCCGTCTGCTGCCTTCTCCTGCCTTCTTTTCTGCCTGACTTCAGGTTCACTCACAAGTTAGCCCTGCCGGCCCACTGACTGGTCAATTTGGACCCATCTTAAAGTCAGAGGGAGAATTCGAAAGAGACTTGCGACATTGCGGGGGTGATGAGTGTGAAACTCAGAAGTGCGAAAACCTCACTAGTTTTTTGATGTGAGCTGGGGCATGGCGTGCAAGCTTTCAAGGGCTGTGAGGATACAGAGAAATCTTTTCAGGCCTCCTTCTTCCCCCATAAAGGATGAGTCTCTTTAGAAGAGGAACTTGGTAAGGCAAGAAGTTTTCAGGATTTGTGGGAAGGAAGAGGCAGAGAAGGCCAGGGGGGCTAAGCAGGCCATGGCTTTGTGTGAGGGGACAACTTAGAGATAGAAAAAAGAATCCCACCTTTTTAATCAAGGGATGTTGGGAATTGAACCAGGCATTCTGCCTGGGGCCTGAAACTTACCTGGAAGCCTTGTGTTTCTCTAAGAGACCCCTGATCTCCCGCTCTTGCCTCAGCCTATCAACCCTGCTTTTGGAGGCTACAAACTGAGGCCTCCTGTGTACAAAGCCTTTCAGTTCTGACACTAGCAAGGTGTTTTCTTGGTCAATATGTAGTAATGGATTGAAGTTTTGTATTCAAGTCAGCTGCTCAGGCTGGGGAAGAAAGAAATGGAATTCTGGCCTCTCTAAAGAACACGCTTTAAACTGCCTGTGCCCCCTTTTTATTGCCCAATATCAGATCTCGATCCTCGCTTGGGCATTCTAGATCCCACTGGGGCCACAGTTCAAGCTCCCATGCTTCACGGCCACCTGAGCAGCGGAACCGCAGCAGAGTCTCCACGGTCATCCAGCCATTGAGGCAGAATGCAGCAGAAGTCGTGGACCTCACAGTGGATGAGGACGGTAGGTGGCTGAGATTCTGAGCCCCAGATCTGCCCCTCCTTTTCGGTCCCAGGGCCCCTGGCAAACTTGGTGGAAATGCCTAAATTCCCCCAAATGGGATTACTGCAAGTGCTCTAACTTTGGTGACTCCCTTCAGTGCATCTGGAGCCTCTGCTGGGCACCTGGTGTTCATTCCGAGAAACGCATCCTGGGCTGCCAGGCACTCAGCAAACTGCCACTGGGGGAACGTCTGTCCTTTGTTTGTAGACCCAGCAGTTGTGCCGACAACTTCATCCAGAGTAGACCCTCAGGCTGCCAGTTCTGCTTCGGATGGTGGCCCCCCCGCCGCCCCCCCTGAGCAGGTCCCTGGAGTAGCTTCAAGCATTTCCAGCAGCCAGCCCTCCTTGCAAGTGGAGCCATTGGCTGTCCTGTCCAACAGCAGCACAGCTGGGAACTCAGCAGGAGGTAGGAAGCAAGATCTCTTTCTTCACGCGGGAGGTTGATGTGCAAGAGTGCCCCGTCAAAGGTTTGCGGTTGTGGTCCTGTTGCAGCTGGAGGCCATGAAGCTAGGAGGGTCTTTGTGACAGCCGTTCTTGTCAGTATTTTAGCATGTTGAAGGTGTCCATGGGGTTTGGATGTGTCTGTGTGCCTGCTCTGATTCCATGGAAATTGTCTGTCCCGATCCAACCCATGAGTTTTACTTCTGCTTGTTTTGGAGGTGGGTCTCTGTAGGAAAGAATGAAAAGTGTAGGCTGGAGAAAACAGGCGTTTGGTTTCTGCAAAGGCACGGGGTGGCCAAAGGAACTCTGACTGCTGCAGGGTGAAGCCAAGCAGGGCAGGGCGCAGGGCGCAGGCCGTAGGGAGTGGACCATCGGAGCAGGCCACCAGGGGACAAAGAGCCTGACTTTGTACTGGTTCTGTGCATTAGAACCGAAAGGAATCAGATCAGTCCCTGTATTTACTGAACTTAGGAAGCAAGTGGGACTCGAAGCGTGGAGGGGCTGGCAGAGTATCTGCGAAAGGGAAAATGTTGGCAGGCTTGAGGGAAGTCACAATCCTTGCAGTAGCACCAGTCCCCCTCCACACACGCACTGGGGGAAAAGAAGCCCCCAGTTTGGGATGGGGAATAGTGGGCACACGAGGATCACACTCCATGATCAGAGGGTGCTGAGCGCTGCAGAGGAGGCCGAATTCTGGGGAAGGAGAGCGAAGCTGGCAGGCTGACCCCAGGAACAGGAACCCCTGGCATGTCCCCCTTTGTCTCCCTTCAGGGTGCAGATGACTCTTCATCCTGTTGCCCACCTTGCTGTCTTTCCAGATGGGTCTCGCTGCCCTCACCTTCTGATCAGTTCAGCTCAGGCCTTTTGCTTTCCTTCCCGATTTTAGATGACGTGAGAGGAAACGCCTCAAGCCACGCACTGGAATCTGGCCCCCCAGCGATGCCAAGGCTGCCCTCGTGCTGCCCCCAGCATTCCCCCTGCAGCGGCTCCTCACAGAACCATCACGTCCTCGGCCCACCCCACGCCAGCTGTTTTCAGCAGCACAGCCACCACTTCCAGCACCACCACCATCACCACAGCCCCCACGCCGGTGTCCCCCTTTCGCCCCCGTTCAGCGAATCCAGCTGTCCCGTCGACAGGCCTCCCCCCGTCCCTGTCCCCGGGGGGCCCAGCAGCAGCGCTGGCACCGCGTTCCATGACCAGGCGAGTTTGGACGGCGGCCCTCTCAGCCGGGGGTCTGCGGCTCGGTCCTCTCTCTCAGCCGCTCCGGACTGCCGCTGTCCCCTAGCCAGCAGCATCCGGCTGGCTTTCGGTGGAGCCGTCCCTGGAAGAGGGGTAAAGAGTCCTGGCCAGGCTTCCAGGGACGTTGCCATCTGGGTGGCCGCGCCCGCGTGAGTGCCGCGGGGTAGAATGTAAACTTGCCACTGGGATGAGCGAGCTGTAAGGGAAGAAGAGAAGGTGGTTCAGGAGACGGTTCTGGGAAAGAAGCCCACATAACCCCACCTTGGCTCGGCTACGTATAAGATGTAGCGCGGAGAAACTCTGGCAGGCTTTCCAGAGTCTGCTGGGCTACCCTACAAGAACAAAGGGCGCTCCCAAGACCCCTGCTGTGCCTGTTTCTCAACCTTGCCTACCTTGAAAGGCTGACGGCCCTCAGACTTCAGGCAGTTCAGCGATTTTCCTTATTCCCATTGGCTTTGCCTGAGTCTCAGTCTCTCTCTCTCCCCCCCTCCCCTTCCTCTTCCTCCCCCTCCGGCCCAGAAGCATAGTGATCACTGATTCAGCTGTGCTCAGTCTGCCTGGAGCTGAGGTCTTAGCCTTGGGGAAATTCTTAGGGCCAAGGAGCAGCGGGTGCTTTTCTCCCCTCCTGACCCCTTGGCGGCTCTCGCCAAGCCAGGCACAGTCAGCAAGTGGCCTGGGGTCAGTCTGAGTGGGCTCCAGGTTTGGATTCCTTGCCCAGTCCCATTCCTTGGGTTTTTCCTCCTGGGCAGCTGGAATAGACGTTTGCTGAATTTGGTTTAAACTTGTGTTGCCCTTTGTTATACAAACGGCAGGAAAACGTGGATCAGAGCACATTTACCCTTACGCTTGTGCTGGGCTATAACAGGGCACGCACGCAGGAAGGTGTGTAACAAGCCCGGTTTACCTCCTCCTCTTCTTTCTGCTCTCCATGTAGCAGGCCCTGCCGGTGGATCTGAGCAGTAACGGCATCAGGAATCACGGGAGTGGCTCTTTCCATGGAGCTTCTGCCTTCGACCCCTGCTGCCCAGGCTCGTCCTCCCGAACGTCCATGTCCGGGCACCAGGCGGGGGCTGCTCCGAGTCAGCCGATGGCCCTGGACGGCTACAGCACGAGCATGGTCCCCCAGCCCCAGCCC